TGCTTACGTTTTAATATTTAATATATATATTAAATATATATATATATTTAATATTTAATATATATTTTATACATTTAATATTTTATATATATATACATAAATATATATTATATATATATGTATATATATATATATATATATATATATATATATATATATATATATATATATATATATTAAATATTAAAACGATATTAAAACTACCATATCTATTATGTACAATACAACAATATTTGTATACATAATATTGAAATAAGCGAACCNAGCATTACGATGAATATGCAATGTAAGATATTTAACATGTAACATATTTATCACAAAAGATAAATATCTTACATGTGTTTTACATTTCATTCAGTTCATTTTGTAAATCACGAATATACTTCACGAATCATGAAATTTTCATATTATATATCGTATCATCCATTTTGAAATCAAGTCAATATAATTTGTCTTTGTTCAGTAATATGGATGCAATCAATAATATTTTAATAAATGTAGACTGTGAAATAGAGCAATACCAAATATCAGATCTAAATTAAATTCCATCGTGCTGAACATATTGATTCCAGAATTCGGCTGCTATGGCCAGGTGACTATCTTGTGGACAAGAACAGCTTTATACAGGGTGATTCACGGAACTGTAACAAGCTATATTTTTGTTCTGTTTCGAGTTAGAAAAAAATGTTAGAGGAAGAAGATGAATGGTCTTTAAGTGATCATAATGTGAAATAAATAGTTTTCCCACAAGTGGACGCATAAAAATCATGTAAACATCATCGACGTTTTTCTAAATGGATACTTACATTTTTTCGTATATATCGGAACCTTTTCGTTATTCTGAGTAAGAAAGTGTTAGAGTAATATTATTGAAAATTAATAGTTTAAACATTTTTTTAAAAACATGTCTTCATCGAAGTAAATGTTTTCAAACACCTTCCCCTCACATTCTAAACATTTAACACAACATTTTTTAATCGTTTTCATTACTGAATTAAGATGTTGCTTAGTTACTGCTCTGCAATGAACTGTAATTTGGTGTTTTAGATCTTCTACTGAATTAATTGGATTTGCGAGTACCTTATTTTTTATGTCCCCATAGAACAAAATCCAGAGTTTTTAGATCAGGTGAACGAGGTAGCCACTATCGGAGAACGTGTACTGAAGCATTTATCGGCATATGCAAGTGTAAGGAATTGTGGAACTATCCTTGTACTGTGCGCTGATGCACCATCCTGTAGAAGATATTCTAAATTTGATCGAGTTTGTAATACAACATCATGAAAAAATTTTTTTAAAAAGTCTTTGAAATTATTCATTTTGCGATAATATTACCCTAACACTTTATTATGTAGAATAAAGAAAGGGTTCAATATATGCAAAATAATGTAAGTATCTATTTAGAAAAACGTCCATAATCTTTACATTGACAAAAAATATGGTATAATCATCTTAAAGCTCTCCTTAAATAATGTTATTTTAGCTCAAAACATGTTCAATCGAACTATGGAATGGTTGATCACGTTCCGTGGTTCACCCTGTGTATTAATTATTAAAGTTAAATTCTTAAACTTATACGACATAGAGATGAAAAGTATGTACATAATTTATGTATATATCCTGCATAGTTTCAGAATATCGTTTGTGCGTTTTCGACATATTTCTTACGTCTTCGTACACATAGTGTCCCAAAAATATTGTAAGCTTTTGAAAGAAGTGATTCCTGAGGTCATTCGAAGTTACTTATTCCTTGGCGAAAATGTCCTCCGCAACTTTGTTAACGAGTTATCAACAAAAAATACTGATCAATCAAAGAACGAGTTCGATTGGTGTCCCGCCCATGCGATCAATGTTGCATCGCGCTTGTTATCGTGCCAGAACCCGCCAACCATACTTGATCTATGATTAGTCTCTATTTTTCGCCCATAATTTGTTAGCAAAGCTTCGGAGAACATTTTTGCTAACGGAGACGTTACTTCAAGTAACCCGACGTGTCACCCCCTTCGAGGACTCACAGCAATTTTCGGACACCCTATATATTTCACCTGTATAAAAATCCCCAGTCTAGTCATCACCTTGTAAAAGTATAATAAATGAGGTTCGATTAATTTATGAAATTCTTGATTTATTTTTAAATACACGTTAATATACAGGGCGAGTCTCGCAATATGGCGACATAAAATTGTTGTACGAAAAAATGTTTCAGATAGAAGTTACATGGTTTACAGGGGGACATATAATTCTGTAATCAGTTTTACGTTGTTTTGCTTTTTCATCAAAATATGAAGGTCACCTTCAATTTTTTTAATGGAATGGTTTATATTTCTTCCTAAATTCGGTTAAAACATCGAATTCTACATAAAAAAGTATTACACCAAATAGGGTCTGAAATAAATTTTTAATTTTTTTTGTTTACATACTGAAAATATGCTATATGCTATGATGCTTGCCGAATTCGTCTCAGCATCCCCTAAACAGGGAAGAGGGTTAACAAAAAATTTGGTACAATCATGTTAAAGTTCACCTTAAACTATGTTATTTCAGCTCAAAAGGTTTCCGATTAAACCACTAGCAACAGAATAAATTAGCTAATCACGTTGCCTGGTCCACCCTGTTTAATTTGAATATATAATTATATGTTACTTTTTCATATAGATTCACCCTTGTTCACCCTTCTTCATGATGTACATAGAGATATACGTTGTGCATATGAAAAATCAATAGTATTCTATAATTCCAGTAAACTATCTCGTAGCTCGAAACTTAACCACTTAGCTGAGTCGATCTATTTTTAAGATCAATTTCGTATGCGTTTTATCGATCACGCTGAGTGCAGTCTTTTTCGGCAAGTTGTTCCAGAAATATTTTTAAATGTTCGAAATTTATGAATATGTTTTACAAGGATTTTAACCTAAATAGTAGGAGAAGTATGTTTGTTGTAAAATGTAAAATTGCCAAAAGGTTAATACGGACACTGAGAAAGAGCATTTTATATTTTCAATTGTATTTCTCTTTCAATTTTACCAATTCAATGAATTACTAAAATGTTCGGCGATGTTTTGTTTCTAAATACGAATGAAAGAATCAATGTCTTATTTGACATTCCCAATCATTAGTGTAAGTAACATGTAGCTGTTAAATAAAGTGGCAATCGAAATAATTTACGATTTCATTCAATATAATTTCATTACTTCAATAACTACATTACGAATATCGTAATCTACTATTATAAATATTGATTACGTATAAAATACGTAATCTTACATCTTTTTTTCAAATAGTACAAGATTATCATGAATTTGATTACAATTTTAAAGTGTTATTGTTGAATAATTACACTACTGTTCTAATCTACAGATTAATGTTTCCAGATAACGTAATGAACATTGAAATATTTATTTAATATGAATAAGAAATAATACGAATAAAGTAGTAAAATACGAGCACGGATCAGTTATGGAGTTATGGATCATCGTGTTCCATGTTCAATGTCCCTATTTTCGAATGTGCATTTTTCTCACATAAGCAACACATCCACACATATTCATAATTACAAAACTTGAAGCCTCTATTGAGTGTAAGATATGTTTTTTGTTGTTACATCTTTTCATTTATGCAGGAAGCGTTTAAATGATTAATTCATTTTTTCTTGTATTTGTTAATAAGAAACATATGTACTTTAAACTATATAACATTAACATTGTAAAAATCTATTCACTTTGGATGCAATTTTCTCTTGCTGCAATTTTTTTTTCTCCTCTCGGCTAACTTTTCTTTTCTTCCTGCAACTGTTCTTACCTTAAGGCCTTTTCCTGTTTTATTATTTGTTGCGATTCTTTTACTTACACGTATGTGATATGAACACTTGAATTTTATATACTATCTACACTCTCCATAGCGTAACAAAAAGAATTCAATTTATTTTCCATTCGCTGCAAAAAATGCGTTTAAGAAAACTATGCATGTATTTCATAAACTGGTACAATCAGTAACGACACTGTCCTTGCCTATTAAATACGAATACCAACTGTTAAAACACACGTATTCAAATAAACATTTCCTTTTACATTTGATTGTTACATAACAGTATCTCTCTCTCTCTCTCTCTCTCTCTCTCTCTCTCTGTGAATGAATTACAGGTTGTTCCAAAAGTTACTCGTAATCGAGAAATGAAGGCTTCCTGAGGTTATTTGAAGTAACTTTTTCTTTAGCGTAATTGCAATCTGCGGCGGGAAACAATGGCCAATGAGAGGCGAGATCAATGAGCAGAACCGGGCTTTGTCCACTCATTGGCTCGGCCAGCTCGCGCCAGCTGTTCTTGCCTCTCATTGGTCACTGTTTTTCGTTAAGAACTCGTACATAAAGACGCGGATTGCATTTGCGCTAAGGAAAAAGTTACTTCAAATAACATCGAGAACGATTGCTAGTGACTTTTGGGACACCCTGTATAAAGAACAATGTTAAAAAATATGGATAGAATTTTTTCATACACTTTCATATGCTCTATCTATTTTTTTTCATCGTATCATTTGTATTTATGATACTGCTTGAGGATGGGGTCACAATTGGAGCGGTGTGTTTCATAATAAATAGTTTTACCTTCATGAGATTTGGTTTCTCGTTTTATCGCTTGCTGCAGTTATTGGTGTATCATAAATGCATGAAAGCCTGCCTTTATTAAGCAACAATCGATAGAGTTCAACACGAACGTATTAATCCGCCCACGCTCGACTAGTACTAAATTGTCAACTAATTCTCATTTCTCTCTGACTGTATCACGTACACGAGAAATTCACTTTTAAATACAGTGTTTCGAACACTTTAATCCGTCCTGTTAACAAATCCTACTAAACGAACTGCTAAATCGTTTTCCATTTTCTGACGGATTTCCCGTCGAGCTGTGGTCCAATCATCGTATCGCTCANGCTGTGGTCCAATCATCGTACCGCTCATCAAACGGCCGCATTACAATGGTGTTTCTGTTTCATTGAATTGTAAACGAACAATCCCGACGATGTTGCAGATTTTTAGTACCAGGTTGGCGTATGGGCTGGATAATCATCCATGATCGTGAAAACGTTCTAGAGAAAGAGGTGGGTAACAGAATGGCAAGTTATATACATGCCTACGCAACAGCTTGAAAATAATTGCTTCTTCGCTCGTATTGTTTCTATAACGAGGGCGGCCGCGTCCCGCGAGCCTCGTGCTTCTACACGATTGGATTAAATTCCGTTAATTAAACTTTATCCCGTCATTAAAGTTCGCTTCTTGATACCATTCGCCTCGTCCTTAACTATACTCCAGGATTAATTCTGATACAACCA